ATGCACGACAAAGTCCGGTTAGCCCTGCCAACCATGGCCTCGCATTGTCGGCCCATGTTCATCCTGGAGTCAATAATGACTCCGAGATCCTTTTCTGCCTCCATGCTCTCAAGAAGGGAGTTTCCCATTCTATAAATGTGCTGCTGGTTTCTACTGCCCAAGTGCAGCACCCTGCACTTGTCAGTATTGAAACGCATCCTGTTTATGATAGCCCACTCCTGTTACCTATCCAGATTTTGCTGCAATCTTTCCCTCCCTACTAGCGTGCTCACCTCACCCCAAATGTTGGTATCATCCGCGAATTTAAAAGGTTGCTTTTCACCCTGAGAGCTTGCAGGGGTACACTGACCTGGCTATGATTACATCTCCATTTAGTTCTGCAGACATCCCCATGAGGGGAGGGATTTGGACTCTGGCCCTGTTTAGAATAGGAAAATAGTTCCTATAGTAGGTCCCCCCTAGGGTATACCAAAACCAGCTAATACAATCTTAAATGCATTAAACTGCATTTCCATTAAGGACTAATCATGTTAGCTGACTCAGTTTAAAAATATCACCTTATTATTATTAACCTTGTTTATCACAGTTGGGTCTTGGGGCTAGGCACAGACAGGGCCTTCTTGTGCTCAGCATTATATGGAAACAAAGTCCCCTACCTCAGAGAGCTTATAGCCTTAGTAGAAAAGGGACATGTAGGCTGAGGGGAAAAGGGCAGAGTACGTTGAGTGCATAATGGGATGCCAGCAAAAGATACAACTTTTGCGGTTTTCTTGAGGGGGTAGAGAAGCTGAATGGAGGGACACATTAACTGTGAAGTACAGCAAAGGAGGAGTGGGCAGCTTTCTCCTAGGATATCTTTGCTGGAAGAATGCAGTGGTTTAGGAACACACAGCTAGAGGGTCCCTTTCTGGGCCACTGGGTGCAGTTCCCTGTTCTTAAGGGCAGCTCCACCATATAATCCCTATCAATGGACTGGGAAAGTGCAAACCAAGAATTAGATTTTGTTTTAATTCAGTTTAAACTGGTGCAAAATCTTACTGCAGACTCACCTACAACATGGTACATGGTCATTTATCAGCACAGGCTATCAACGTATCTTGTGCTAATAAATTAGGTCAGGTCTACATGCAAAACCTGTGTTGTTTTACTGACATAAAATCAAAGAATACTTTGGTGCTACTTGCTGCTTTTAGACAAGATTTCAGCTGTGCTGATATAATGGAGGGTTAAACGGGCTTAAAGTGCAACAGCAGCAGCATTAGAGGTCTGTACCAGTTTAGTTAGGACTTGTCTAAGCACAAACTTGCACCAGTTTAACAAATAGGCAGAGTCTAGACTAGGATTTGTTAACAAACATGGCTCTCCCTCCTCCTCCTTCAGCCATGGCTGAGTGCAGCCCCAGACACTCTTCTTCAGATATTTGCTACCCAAAATGGGGCTACCCTTCATTCTGACACTCTGAACCAGAAGAGTTTAGCTCTAGTCCAACAGTCAGAGCAAGAGGAACAAGAGATTGCACTCTGCAGACTATTCATCTTCAAGCATAGGCGATCCTCCAGTGGTGGCACTGCTATATCAAACTTCGCTTCTTAG